AGAAAAAAAAAACAGTAGACAACAAAAAAAAAGAAATGAGAGCTTCTAGCAAAAGTGAATTCCTCTTATGTTACCTACAACTTAGGCAATTCCAGTGGAGTCAGGCTGGTCTTGAGTTAACCAGTTACAGGGTGGGTAGGAATTTCCCCACAGAAGCCCCTTGAGAGCCAGTAATTGAAAAAAAGTGGCTGAGATGACAGTATTGTGGCTCCACCAGCACCCCCCCCCCCGCCCCGGCCACCAGCGGCTCTGGGGAGGCGGACGAGCTGTTTGACATGAAGAACTCCTTCGACACTGGCAGTTACCAGCATCAGCGAGGCATAGTGAGTGAAGGACAGTGGCCACCCAGAGATGCTGATCAACCTCATTGTCCTGTCACAGCACCTGGGCAAGGCCCCTGAGGTGACCAACCTCTACCTGTCACAGGATTCCCATAGGTCCCACCCATTCCAAGAGTACCACCAGGTCAAGGAGAATGATTTTGACCAGCTGGTCCTGCAGTACCCTCCCAGTGCGTGAGGCTGGCCTGAGCCCCGACCACATCCGTGCGTCCATCCCACCAGCACCCACCACTTCTCGGCCAGACCCTGGAAGGCCGGTGCCAGCACCTCATCTCCCAGCAATAAACAGACTTGACTAGGGCACCATCCCCTGCCTCCCCCCCCCAAAAAGAGCTAGTGATTGTACAGAAAGCACCTCCCTAACAGGGCAGGGTCAAGAGAAGGGACACCACTGGAACCTAGGGCCAATACTCACTTGTACTTGTTGTCTTCCGTGGGCTCAGTTTTTGGAGGGGTTTCAAACCTTGCGTAATCGTGGTCATACCACATCCGGTAAAAATAGGTCTTCCCGTCGGTGTCAGCCATGATGGGCTCAGGGTCCTGGCCTCCCTTGGGTGAGAAGAGCGCCGTCAGCCGTGACCTCACGTGACGGGCAGGAGGAAGGGAGCTGGAAGGCGCTGGACGACACTTACCTCTAGCGCCCAGTTTTCTGGAGGAGGGATGTAAACAACTGTGACTTTCTCGTTGATGTAAGGCATCTGCAAGTTCTCACACTCGTCCACCAGGAATAGTTCCAGAGGGTCTGACGTCGCTCCCAGGATTGAATCTCTCCCGGTACAGAACCAGTGGGCATGAAACATTTGTCCGGTGTTGCTGTCGTCCCATAAGGCGGTGATTCTGCAATTGGGGGCGGGGAAGGAAAGGTTCTAGCTTGATAAGTGGACACGTGACAACCTACTAAGATTGTTTTGGATCTTTCAGGACAAACGGCAGTTGTTCATCTTGCAAGACATGCATCTCCTACTTGCAGAAAGTGTGGTCAGGTCAAGCCAGGGGAAGGATACAAACCTTGCAAAATAGAGATGTGAGGAATTAACTGCGGAAACAGAGACACAGTCCCCTACTTCGAAGATTTCGGAATCAATACAGACTTTCTGATAGTAAATCTTCTTTCCCTCACTCTTTTGCTCAATCTGCAAAAGAATAATTTGAGCATCATTTGAAAGGTCATGCTAGATGGGCCCTTTGTGAGATCCTGTTACCATTACACGAGAGTTTAACTCAAGGACTTCCTTAGAGAGAAGCCAGGCATCTCCACGTCTGGCTTTGAAAGGGAGCCTCTAACTCTTCTTGCCTGGAAGCCTGAAGCAAAGGGATCTGCCTGCCTCACCCCCATCAGCTCTGTTCAAGGTCAGCCTTGAATCGGATTCTGGTGTCTGATATTAACAGTAGCAGTACCACATCCTTCCCGTGGTAAGGTCACCAGGGACTCCTAACTCCTCAACTCCCGTCACATCAGTCACGTGGCTTGCCTACCCCTCCCCGAGGGCTCTGCCCCGGATTTTCTCTGCTCTCCGCGCTAGCTCCTTTCCATCAGACCAGCCCCTTCCAGCCCTCAGCCCTGTTGTGTCCTGCAAAAGCACTCACACCATTGGTCATGTGTCTTCTTCCAGCACTGAACCATCAACCCCACGAAGCTTAGCCGCATGTTACCGCCATGCTCCGAGCCTACCCCAGCACCCAGTAGGTGCTCATGTTCTCTGAATGGGCCAAGCGCATCTTTGGTTTATAACCACCAAGGAAGGAAGGGATGGTAAGATGACACTTCCTTTCAAGGTCCTTGAACCGACCCTGAAAGAGACCCCACCAACAACTTGGGGGAAATTTGGGAGTACCCTGAAAAACGCATTCCCAGGTCTGAATGGCTATGACCACTTTTTCAACAGGTCCAGTGTTCCCAGAACTATCCATCACTCTTCTGTAGTATCAGGAAAGCTGAGTCTACAGACACAAGCGAACATGTCAGTGTGTTCAGCCGTGCATTTTGGCCTGTCACTTGGCCTCGCTCTCTCCTGGGTCGGACACGTGGGCCTCCCGCTCCAGGCTCAGGGTGCTGACAGTCTGGCACCAGGAGACCAGAGGCAGCACCGAAGTGGAGGGTCTTCCCCAAGATTACCTTGACAGGCTCTCCAACCCAAGTGATCTTGTTCTTGTGATGTTTCTGTTTCTTCTCTTGATGCATTTTTTTTTTTGGTAATGGCATTTTTTCTGGGATATTCTCTTCGACTTCTTCATCCTCATCTGCCTCCTTTACGGCCATATTGGGGCACCTGCAGAGTCACTGATGAGTTATTGGGATCAACTGAGGGCCCTCATCATTCCTCCCAGAACAACCTGGCCGTGAGCCAGGCCCTTTTCCTAAGTAAAGCCAACGAGGCGTGTGAGTCAGACGCCAGAACCAGGCCTTGTGAGGACGCTTACAAAGCTGTCCCATCTGCAGAGCAGGACGTCTCCCAGCAGTGAACACGAGCCCGGAACAGAGGGCTGAACAGAGGGCGGGCCAAACCTACCTCCTCGCTTCACAAGCCTGCTTGCTCCGGCCGCTACCACCGAACTTAACCATGTCCTTACAAGCTTTGCACTGTCCACACTCGGGCTGCTGGCAAACCTAGAAAATGCCATCAAGAAAGCCTGTCAGTGGTGAAAGCTACAGGTGGTGTCCCTCAAAAAAAAAAAAACACGCGTTAGGACCCTCACTGACACTTGAGGATAGAGTCCCACTTGGGCAGGGAGCTTCACTTTCATTAAAAGGCCATGTGGGTGTAGGGTGAGCTTTAGTCTAATTGCTTCTGAGTGTAAGCATCACAGACACTGACTGGCAAGCGCACAATGAAGAAGACAGAGAGACAGACAGATGGCTCTGTGACAATCATTAGGTAGCAAAGGACCACCAGCTGCTACCAGTTCCGACAGACAGAGGGTCAGACTCTGAATTCACGATTCCAGCTTTCTGAACTGCGGTAAAATGGATTTGTTCTTAAAGCCGCTCAGTCAGGGAGGGTTTTATCTGTTACAGCAGTGCCAGGTAACAGAAACGCAAGGCTCTTGGTAACCATAACCAGCTTTTTGGTGAGTGGTCATTTTTTCAAGAACACATTTTGCCTCATGAGAAATAGAAGGAGAGTTAGAAATGTGCCCTCACTCAGACCCTCCAGACTGGCAGAAAAACCAGCCAGGCAGCCCTGGCACAGGTGTGGGCACAGGTGAGCACCAACTCCAGGGAGGATAAAAGGGCAAAACCACCCCAGTTAAATAAACACGAGAGCCCAGCAATGCCACTTCTGAGCAGTGACAGTGACCCTCACAGGACTGGAACTGGAGTTCAAGGACATCACTGTCCTATCAGGTACAAAGTAAAAGCTGCCCATCATGAACAGGCTGGGAATCGCTACAACATGTTAACTAGATATGTGTCAACACCTAACAGATGAACATAACCAGGTACACGGCACTTTAAGACAAAGGTTAAAAGGAGTTAGCGATATGGCACAAATGTGAAGAAGCAGGAAAGCCAGCAAGGTGCAGACATGCCAATCCCGGGTGAGGTTGGCCTTTAAGGCCAAAGGCAAAGCTCTGAGTTCAGGCTGCTAGCCGTTGAGGGAGGTCAGGCAACAGATCCAAGCACACTTGCTCTCTCTGCGTCACACTGTTGCCGCTGCTGTTGTGTGCCATCGAGTCGACTACGACTCAGTGAACCTGTGACCGGGTCTGAACCTTGCCCTCTCCTGTGCCATTCCTCTGTACCGAGGTAAGCAGCTCTTTACAAGTTCACAGGCACAAAGAAGCCTTTTACGGCCTCCAGTCTTAGTCTGACAGCGTGCCCACTTTCCCAGGAACGCTACGCCACGGGAGGGCCAGTTCCTGGGAGACTGTCGTGCAGAGGATGGGGTCTTTCCTTGGAGGAACTCGTTCCCTCTGCTCTCATGCCTTGACACGGGAGACAGCAAGTGTCATGCAGGAAGCCCGGGCTCAGGAGCCACCGTTCTTTAGTTAACGACAGTGGCATTAACAGTAGAGCACCAAGAGCATGCGAGTTAAGACAGCTGTCGTGCCAATCAACTTGCTCGCGGGCCACGCAGGGTCCTAACTCTTCCTCCCAACTCCTCTGGCTGCATCACATTTGAGCGGTAAGCATCAAGCCGCGAAGATGAAGCAGGCTGCTCGCAGAGGCTCTCGGGAGCCCGGCTCGAGTGAGGTTACCTCACAGACGCCACACCGACGGCGCTTACAGGCGTTCTCCTTATCTTCCTTGTCAAAGGTCTCAATTTGGTCGGCGAAGAAGGTGTCAAAGATCTGGTAGACCAGCTTGGTGGTGGTGGCTTTGGTGGGCCCTTTATCCTTCTCCCTGGTGGAGTGTCTGATGGCCTGCCGCCTTTTGGCTCGCCTGGAAGAGAGAGGCCGCTGTTTTAGCGAGGTGCTGGGAGCAGCACGCTTGTCACCGGCAGGCGAGGCACTCAGCGGTCCGTCTGTGCTAGTCCCTATTTGGAATCCTTGCCTTTGTCCCAGAGTGACCCCGGCAAGTTTGATCACGTCCCTCATGCAGGGGGACAGGAAGATGGGCTCCTCGTCACTGTCCCCGGCTTCGTCATAACTCTCCACTTGTTCCACCACAAACTGGGCGTGTCGGAGGAGAGAGTCCTCGGTGAAGCGATTCAGGCCGAGTCCAGGAGGAGGGACGGTGGTCTTAACAAGAGAAAACACAAGAAAAACAGCTTATACTTAAGCAAAATTGTTTCACTCCAACAGAAAGAGCTGCTGATCCCGTCTCTTTAAGGCCTCTACACACTCACGCCTCAGTATCTGGAAGAACCTGGTTCTAGTAGGACCCCCCTGCCGCCCCAGAGCCTCATACCAAGATCTGAAGATGCTGAAGCCCCTTGTACAAAACGGCATAAAAGCTGCATGTAATTGATGAGTATTCTCCCATACAACTTATGAGACCTAATGCAATGTGAATGCTGGGCAAACAGCATTTTGGAAGGACTACTTTGACCCACTCAGTTGCTTGCTTCCCTCATCCTCCAAAAAATTTCTGATCTGCACAGGAACTGTGGACACAGAGGGCAGGCCTGCCTTGGTAAGCTGGTGTAAGGCCCAGATGATGAAAGACCGAAAGCTCTTACTTCAATCTTATTGATCAGATCTTCATAGGTTGAGTCTCGAAAATTCTTCAGAAACTCCACTACTATCTTACTTATATAGATCTTCTCCTGTATCAGTGCGAATATCGAGGCATACTCTGGGCTGGGATCCATCATGATATATTCAGCAAAGGCTGGAGGGGAGAGATGACATTTTAGTGTGAACCTGAGGGCACCTGCAGTAGCCACAGGGCAGGGACAAGTGGATCAAAATTACAGAACAGTTTAAAAACTATTCCACAGTCAACCCTCAAAAGCACAGAGTATAGCCCAGTGGAGTTCACGCATTCTGAAGCTACTGAACCACCTCATCTACTTTTGCCAAGATGGTTGTAGCTCAGCGACCCTCCCTCAGTTTCTTTTTTTCTTTTTAATTTTTTTTTACCTCCCTCAGTTTCTAAGGCTCTGAGTCTCTGCGGCATCTGGTGGTCCATCTTTCTCCCAAGGAGCAGCTGGTGGATTCAAACTGCTGATCTAAAGGTTAGCGGCTCAGCATAGGAGACCCTACGCTCCCAGAGCTCCTGTGCGATTCAGCCAGAATCCTGACAGCTTTGACTTAACTCATCCGTGGGCTCAGAATTTAGTCAGGATTTCAACGGCAAGAATCTGACCTGCTCTTTTAACTAGAGGGTCGGTTCCAGGGCCAGCTGTAGCGAGCACCAGAGGCCACCCTCACAGCTCGATAGTTCTCGTCATCATGTGGCATTTGTTTTCTGGAGGAATGTGCAGACTTCCCACTAGAGCCCAACCCACCCCCTGGGAAGAGAAAAAGACAGAGGTCGCAGGAAGAGGGCACACTTAGTGCCAACACTTACAGGTGCTGAAGCCCAGCAGGGCTTTCTCCCCTCCGTCGTAGCCGGTGATCCACCACTCGTTTATAGGGCCAAGGTTGACACCATTAACACCACCTGAGGGAGGAACCATATCCAAACAGGAGACAAATGAAGAGGCAGGACTCGCATCAGAAACTCGGGCCCGAGGGACGCTACGAGTGCCCAACTCCGCTGACATTTCTCATCAGCCGAGCGGGGCAGTCTCTGCCACAGCCTACAGGGATTTGCTTACTGCTAGTTCAAAGCACCGCACGTCAACTCACAGCTCTGAGAGACAGCGGCTCCAGGACACCACGGCTTTGGAGGTGTGTGCCAGTCCCCTGCCCTCAGCCTAACTGAGAAGTGCTCCACTCACCTTCAGGAGACGGGTCATCCGCATAGATGGGTTTTGCCGAACCAGCCAAGTAGAGTTCAACGTTCTTCTCGATGAGGCCGGTATCGATTGGGCACAGATGCCCGAGTTTACAGTACACACTAGATGGGGCCGAGAAAGCCGTGGGGTACAGTCAGAAAGAAGACACACACTGGGGGGGACCCAGTTCAATCCCTACCTAACTCCCTCATACTTGTGCTGAAGACACTACATTAACAGGGGCCTATCACAAAGACAAGATGCCCACTCTTTCTCTGACCTGCGTGAGCACAAATGGTAGCTTATGTGTCTCCAAAGGTAACCACTCAGGTGAGCAAGACAGGGCACAGCGAGACAGACAGGGTGTACCAGGGATTCTTCAAATTAGGCAAGAAAGAAAACAGATTTACTCAAGTCTGTCCCTCAGCATATTTCTAAAGGAAAAAAAGTCTGGCTACCGAAACTTCTTATTCAACGTAAGAGAAAGAAGTGCAGCAGGGATGTGAGGAGGAAGAACTGGCTTCCCTTTGGGGAGGTTATGTTCAAATTCAAGGGCAGCATCTATGGGCGCACCACCCAGACAGCAGTCAACTTTTAGGAGCACATTTTTTTAAAACATTTTTTATTATTAATTTTAATAAAAATTTACAGAAACTTTGGATTCCCATTCATTGTTGCACTTTTCTCCCTGCCCACCCCTCTCCTCCGGTTCGCTCTTCTCTTTGAAAAGTAAAAGAAAAATTCTTTTATTGTTATGCAATCCCTTGCCCCAAGTCCACTCCACTGTGCAGCCTTCATTCTGGACTCTTGTCATGAGATTAATATCCAATCACATATCCCTTTTAAACAGTTCTCTCCCTCATCCGTTTCAATACAGTATACATTATTTATTCCCTCTTTCTCAGTCTCCCCCAACCCTGATGTCCATCAGTTCCATTTTTACAATGGTGGCACCATGCAGCATTTGTCCTTTTGTGACTGAGATATTTCACTCACCATAATGTCTTCCAGGCTCACCAGTTTTGAATACTAGCTCATGAGTTTCTTGTTTTTCAAACAACTCAGCGTAGTATTCCATTGTGTGAATATACCAGAGCTTCTCTAATCATTCATTTGTCGGTGGGCACATAGGTTGTTTCCAATTCTTTGCTATTGTGGGCAAAGCCACGATAAACATGGGCTTGCAGGGAGCACATTTCTTAGTGAAATTATCACAGGAAGCCAGGATGCCCAGTGCATGAACTCGAGACTCTACAGATGGACCTGTTCATAGTAGTCTCAAGGGCAGAGGGCCTTGTCATCCAGAGAAACCCCCAAATAGGCCACATAAAATCTGGGCAGGGTTTCTATAAGCACCCCGCGCCCCCCCCCAAGCACAGTATCTGGTCTCAGTTCTCATCTTTGAACCCCACAAACTCTTAAAATGAGAAACTGAATCAACAAGACAGATCATAGCCTCTTCCTATGGATTTGAAGTGCAGTGGAAAAGATGCAATCACGCAGATGACACACAGAAAGAGGGGGCCGGCTGCGACACTCCCACTGCAGGGCCTGGTGTCTCCACACAGCTGGAGTGTGCGGGGCACCGGGCCATGGCTGTCCAGCCCCAGCACTCACAGGGATCAGAGAGCCTGGCAGGAAGGGGGCTGCGCACCACAACAAGATAAAGGTAAACAATCCAACTGAAAAATGGGCACAGATATGAACAGACACTTCGAAGACATTCAGATGGTGAACACACACATGAAGAAATTTTCAAAATCCCGAGCTCTAAGAAGGATGCAAATCAAAACATGAGATCTCATCTCATCCCAGTAACAATAGCAAAATTCAACAAAATGGCAAACAAATGCTGGCGAGGTTGTGGAGAAACTTAAACCCTTACTCACTGTTGGTGGGATTGAGTATAAAATGGTGCAACCACTAGGGAAGGCTGTATAATGCTTTCTCCAAAATTTGCAAATAGAAATCCCATTTGATCCAGTAATTCCACTACTGGGAATTTACCCTAACGGAACCATAACTGCCACCCAAGCAGATATATGCACACCCATGTATATCGTGGCTTTGTTCACAATAGCAAAGAGTTGGTAACAACCCAAGTACCCATCAACAAACAAATGGATAGAGAAGCTCTGGTATATTCACACAATGGAATACTATGTTGCACTGAAAAACAAGGAACTCATGCAGTATTATTCAAAATGGGAGACCCTGCAGGACATTATGCTGAGTGAAGTATCTCAGTCACAAAAGAAATATTGCATAATGCCATTGTTATAAGAGGACTGACATAGGGTTTGGGGGGAGACTTAGAGGATAAATAACATATACTGCATTTAAACAGATGAGGGAGGGATCTGTTTAAAAGGGATGTAAGACTAGGTATTGTCATCACAGGAGTCTAGAACGAAGGCTGCACAGTGGAGTGGACTTGGGTGGAGGGATTGTCTAACAATGAAAGAATTTTTCTTTTACTTTTCAAAGAGAAGAGTGAATGTGGGGGAGGGGTGGGCAGGGAGAAAAGTACAACAATGAACATGAACGGAAATCCAAAGTCTCTAAACTTTCACTAAAATTTTTAAAAAATTAAATAATAAGAACAGGGCTGCAGTGGTCCGGTGAGCTTACACCCAGTTCGAAGCAACAATGCTGGAGAAGGTCTGAGTCCCAGGTGGGGCAGGACCCACTGGCTCACAGAATGAACCCCTCGGGATCGTTCTAACCAGTCTCTTCAGGCCACGTACCAGAGGTAAGAGGCTGTAACAACCCAAGCATGCTGGAGGTATATTAACCATTTATATGTTTAAGGAAAAAAAAATATGAGCATGGCATGGCAACAGATACTGGGGTGGAGGGGGAAACAGACTTAGAAGACTGCTAATATTTGTGTGAACAATAAGGTCATTCTAGAGAGATGTTCTCAGAGCCACTGTCCCGACAGAAATTAGTCCACATCAGACCCAAAGGCGAGGGGAGTCACAAACACCACCAGCGAGGTTCCACCCCAGGACCCTCTCTCCAGAGCCTGTCCCGAGTCCTCGCAGAGGCCCCCGGGTGTGCACATGGTCACCAATGCACCCAACACACATTTCACTTGTGCATTTGTTGAGGTTTGAAGTGCGTGCTGGACCAGGTCCTGAGGAATCACAGGTCCACAGGCACTTCTGACTGGTCCTCAAGCTCAGGGGATGGGGACATGCCATTAAGGGAGAAAGGAGTCAGAATGAAGAGACCCAGGCACCCCAGCCCCGCCTGAGCTGGTGTGGGCAGGGGGCGTTCTGAGGCTGCTCACAGGGCACCCCACACATGAACCCCACAGGCCGTCACTGCGGGGGCACCTCTGTTCTTACCCCAGCTATCAGCCCTCATGGAACTGATTCACTTCATGGCAAGCCCACGTGTGTCAGTGATCAGGACCTTCTGCCACACGACCTCAGAAGGGATTGAAACCACCACCCTTTTGGTTAGCAGCCAAGTGTGTTAATCACTCCAGAACTCCTCTCGGGAATGGAAAGCCTATGTTGAGGCCCAAAAGGAAACACGGGCTGTTCCTGGAAGCAAACCATTTCTCCCAAAGAAACAGTATCTGCACGTAAAGTGAGGGAACCAAGCTGGACGCAGGATGCGCACAGGCCAGGGGGCCCCTGTCAAGGCTCAGGACAGACAGCGCGGACCACTGAGAAGCAGCAACTGCCAGAGGCTGCGACATCCAGTCACGGGTCCGGCCACTCCCTGACCGCTGCCCCTAGCACCTCAGCTTTCCCACCTCTCACCCTGTTCATCCCCCTGAACCACTAGGCTTGTTTTTATACCACCGAAGACTGTGTTCAAGTCCCTTTCCTATATCTAAACTCCATTGTCCCATCTCCCTCTGCGGTTTTACTTATGACTTAGTATGTGCGGCTGGTGTCTTGTCTCCATAGAAGCAGGGATCAGGTAGTAATGCCCACACACCTAGGCCAGCATCTAGCCCACGCCTCCCCCTGTGAATGAGGAGCCTTCAGGATGTGTGCTGAGTGGAGAAAGAAGACAGCAGTAAACTGGTGGCGGTTCATTACAGCCCCTTCAAGTTATGGCTCTTATCAGCTTCAATTGTCCTCGATTAGGTGGGAAAGACCTTCACCCCAGGATGTCAACTTCTGTTCTCTTCAGGGGAAAATGTTACTGCCTTGTCACAAGGCGGTTTAGCACACAAACAAAAGGACAGTCATTACCTGAAGTAAGTCACTTTGTGCTGGGGAAGATCCTCGTAACTCTCGAAGCCACATTCGTTGGCATCAAAAATGGACAGTTTCTCATTTGTCAACAACTGCGGTTCTTCTACCTGAGAAGACAGTGGCCCGTCAAGCTCAGTCACAGAAGACAGCACGCCAGAGACAGGGCCAAGGGCTTCCACTTACTGCATCAGGGAGATGCTGCTGGTACTTGAGGTCAGGGTCATCCAAGTACTGTCCACACTGGATACATTTCGGGGGCTGGGGCTGGGTCTGTGGGAGCAGCAACACAAACAGGGCTCAGAGAGGAGCACCAAGCCACACACAGCACTGCCCCACCAGTTAGCCCCCAGGGGACCGTTTATACCAAGACTGCTCCATTTCCACAGGCGAGTGCTCAATGCAGAGCCGAGTGAAACCCAAATCCCCAAGGAACATTTGATTTGCTTTATTGATTCAGTTTCCTGAGAGTCTAGCCTTATGTTTATTACTTGCTTTGGGTAAATGTAAGATAGTCTTCCTCATAATTTAACCCACATAAATATGTCAGAGAGACCAGATTTTTAAGTACAGAGAACTATTATATAGTTGACAGTCTACAGCTGTCAACTATATAAGAACAGCAAATATATGAAACATTACAAAAAGTGAGGTTATAACCCTAAAAGTCTTAATATTTTTAACTGAGACAGTTTACATGCAAGATTTCTTATTTGTAAGCATCAGATTTGGAAAACATTTACATATAACCACAGAACATGAACAAGTCTGTCCTGGAGAGGGTGAAACCAGGCTGCTCCTTAGAGGCAAGGATTCTGAAGCTCCATCTCACATACTCTGGCCACCTGGCCAGGAGGGACCAGTCCTTGGAGAAGGACATCGTGCTTGGAAGGGTTGAGGGACAGCACAGAAAAAGACCCAGAATGAGATGGAATGATACAGTGACTGAGACGGTAGGGGTTGGTGTGTCAGAATTATTGAGACTGGCTCAGGACAGGGTAGCCTTCAGAGCTGCTGTATATAGGGTTCCAATGAGTTGCAAAGACTTGACGGTACATTACAATAGCAACACCCAATTAAGGCATATATCCATCCATTCCTAGAGTGAATTCTCAACTCTGAAAGGCAACCAAATAATCTGATTTCTACCACCCTAGTCCACTTTTGCCGAGGACAAACTTCATAGGCAAGAACGTTATACAACTCTTCATGACCGTTTCTTCCTCACACTATCATGCTCTGAGGTTCAACCATGTTGTGTGTATCAACGTGGGAAGCTGAATTATCAAGTTTAATATTAATAAACCAAATGCTTTATCAGGGTATGAGGGAGACGTAACACAAGCTAGAATTTACCCTGTAGCACTATGGCAATCCTTCAATGTTTACAGGGGTCGGCATTAAGGCAATCCTTAGGAGTCTACATAATTCTTAGTTTGTATTTACTTAGTCTCTCCCTCCTGAGATAAGCATAGGGTCAACAATAGAGAAGGACTTATTTGACAAAGACTTCCCAAGATCCTTTGTTTTTGTTTACTACTCCCTTGTGATTGTCCTTTGTTTACCTTCCTGAAGATTCTCAATAAAAAATCCAGAAAGGTGTCTCAGAGGGGCTGCAGTTCTCCCAGCTGTTAGCCCCCTGCCTTCACACTTTCTGGCCTGATCTCCACTCCTGTGTGTCCCCATGTCTGTCCTTTTCCTTTGGTGGACAACATAAAGATTCTGTAAGTGGTTCCATTTACCTTAGATCCCCTCAGCAACAACAGTTTCAAACTGGATGAGTCAATGCTTGCCAAGGAACCAGTCAGGAAGGAAACCATTCACAGAGTGTAAAGGTGTAAGCTTGTTTCCAGGAGTAAAGTGTTCACGCCTACAAATTAGGTATAACTGACTGGGTTTATCCCATCTGAATTTCAAAACCATCTCAGGAACAGGTCTGAGGCCTTGAACACTAACGAGCAAAGACCAGATGAGCTGTGGGAGGGTATCAAGAATATCTAGGAAGAACGCAAAAGGTCACTACAAAGACAGGAGGAAGAAAAGACCAAGATGGATGTCAGAAGAGACTGAATATTGCACTAGAGTGCTGAGAAGCCAAAGCAAGAGGAAGATATCAAGATGTTATGGAGCTGATCAGAACATTTTAAAGGGCAGCGTGGGAAGACAAAGCAAAGCAGTATAAAGAAATGTGCGAAGAGCTGGAGTCAGAATACCAAAAGGGCCAAACTAGCTTGCATTTCTTAAGCTGAAAGAACTGAAGAACAAATTCAAGCCTCGAGTCCCAGTACTTAAGGAAGCTTTTGACAGATTAACCGATCCAGGAAGCATTAAGAGGCAGAAGGCATATATAGTCACTGTACCAAAAAGAACTGGCTGGCAAGGCATTTCATGAAACATGATCAAGAGCCTATGGTGATCTACGAGGAAGTTCAAGCTGCTCTGAAGGAACTGGGGGGAAAAAAGGGTCCCAGGAATTGACTGCATGCTTATTGACATATTTCAATGATCAAAGATGTCCTGGACATGCTGACCAAATTGTGCCAAGAAATTTGAAGGACACCATCTAGCCAAATGACTGGAAGAGGTTCATATTTGTTCCTATTAAAAAAAGGCGACCCAACAGTACAGAAATTATCCAACAGTATCATTAATATCCCATGCAAACAAGATTCTGCTGAAAATTATCCAAAAACGACTAGAACAGCATGTCAGGCGAGCTCTGGTTGCCTAGTGGCAAGAAGCTGCACTGCAATCTCAGAGGTTGTTGTTATGTGCCATCGAGTCGTTTCCGACTCATCCACCAGATGCTCTGCTGGAGAAGGAGGAACAATCTCCTCCTGTATCAGTCAGATCTGATTTGATGGTACACACAAAAATAATGAAATAAAATAAAATTTACAAAAAAAAAAAAGAACAGCATGTCAACAGAACTGCCAGATGTGCAGGCTGGGTTTAGAAGAGGTCATGGCACTAGGGATAGTATGGCCAATGGTAGATGGATCTTGCCTGAAAGCAGAGAATACCAGAGGAAATGTCTGTTTCTGTCTATGCAAAGACATTTGACTGTGTGGATCACAACTAGCTAACTCTAATAATGGGAATCCCAAATCATTGATTATGTTTCTGTAAAATCTATACTTTGGACCAGGAGGCACTCATCAGAACAGGAAACACTGCATGGTTCAAAATCAGGAAAGGTATATGCCAGGGATGCATCCATGCTCTATACCTTTTCAATCTATATGCAGATCAGATCATCCAGGAGGCTGGGCTCTATGAGGAGGAATGTGGCATCAGGACTGGAAGAAGACTCAACAACCTACATTATGCAGATGACACAACCTTGCTTGCTGAAACTGAGGAGGACCTGAGACATTAGCTGAAAGTCAAGGACTGCAGCCTTCAGTATGTATTGAAGCTCAACATCAAGCAAACAAAGATTCTCACCACTGACTGGGCAGATTGGTAGGATCATGATCAATAGTGAAGAGATTGAGATTGTCAAAGTCTTCAGTTTGCTTGGCTCTACAAAACTCTTGGTACCACCAACCAGGTGGTACAAATGCAAAGGATGAATTGCATTGGGAAAATCTGCTGTCAAAGACCTCTCTGGAATAGTAGAGAGCAATGATGTCAGTCTAGAGACTAAGGTGCACCTGATCCAGGTCATGGTCTTTACAATTACTTGCTCTGCATCAGAAAGCTGGACAATGACTAAGGATGACAGAATTTGAATTGTGATGCTAGAGAAGAGTATTGAATATACCGTGGACTGCTAGAAGAATGAACAAGTTCATTCTAGAGATGGTGAAACCAGACTGCTTATTGGAGGCAAGGATTCTGAAGCTCCATCTGACATACTCTGAGTATATTGCAAGGAAGGCTCAATCCTTCGAGAAGGACGTCATGTTTGGAAGGGTGGAGGGACAGCGCAGGAGAGGAAAATCCTGGATGAGATGGAGTGACTCAGAATGATGAAGCTATCGATTTTTAAACAAGTCTTTCAGTGAGCTTAAAGACAAAGTTGTAGGTTAAGAAAAAGTTCCATCTGACTCCTTGGGTATAATCCAGAGCAGCATTCTTTTCTTATACCAGCAATATAGTGGATCAAGGGAGGCTCTCTGTTGAGGGAGGCTGTTCTGGCCACTGCAGCAGCATCTGATTCCTTTGCTAGAACTAAATGTGGTAAACCCTCTTTCTTGACACAGGTAGTGCCTTGTCTCCAGACAGTGATGACCAGGAGGTCAGGGATTAGCCCTGGTTGAGAACTACTCATCTAGGGGAAAGCACCTAAGCGCATGTGTGATTCTGAAAGTCTGTGACGGTTACTGGTAAGTTTAGTAGAGTAACTATGCAACTCCTTAGGACATTGAGAGAATTTCAAATGTCAGAAGCTGGAAGTGGAAGGTCCCAGTAGCAGATGATCAGGCAGAGAGGTTGCTGTCTTCCCTAGAATATGTACTGTTCCTCAAAGCTGAGGCTCTCTCTACCAGCAGTGTTCTCACCAAGCATCTCCTGTGAACATCTAGTGAGACTGGCCAAGCTCCCTTGCTTCCACAAGCTCCTGGCTTGAACTGTCATGACCCTTGTTCAGTGCCAACTTCTCATCTTTCCACCACTCTATCCTCCCTTCCCCCACAGGGCAGTCTCACCCAGGCTCCTTGTTTCAACCACCACCTCTACGTGCTGTGAGTGAGAGCTCAGTTGTGAAATTTGTCAAACGCCATAGCTATAAGGTTTATTATGTGCCATGGAGTTGCTTGCAACTCACAGTGACCCTTATGTACAACAGCCCTGAACCCTGGCTCTATCCTGTGTCAATCTTATTGTCTCTACTATATCTACCCCCATTACCCCAGGCACTGAGTCAATCCATCTCATTGAGGGTCTTCCTTTCTTGTGCTGTCCCTCTACTCTCCCAAGCACGACATCCTTCTCCAAAGACTGGTACCTCCTCACAACATGTCCCAAGTATGTCAGACAAATCTTCAGAATCCTTGACTCCAGGGAGCAGCTTAGTCTCACCCTCTCAAGGATGAGCCTGTTCTATTCGTCCAAGGTGTATTAAATACTCTTCTCCAGCATCACAGCTCAGAGACATCAATTCTTTCTATCATTCCTAGCCATTGTCCAGCTTTCTGATGCCTAGCAAGTCATTGTGACGACCAGGGCCCAGATGAGGCGCATCAGAGCCCACTAAAAACCAAAACCCTGAACCTGTCAAGAGTCGACCCTGCTTGTAGCGAGTTACAGTGAGTGACCCTGTGGGTGAGAACTCGGCTGCCCCACAGGGTTTCCAGGACCGCAGGCTTTGGGCAAGAAGACTGTCTTTCTCGCCCACGTAGAGTGGCTGCAAAGTTCCCACTGCTGACACGTGATTTAGCAGCTGTTTTAACTGCTGCGCCACTAGGCCACCTTCTAGTCAAACTTGTTTTGTACCGTCAAGTCAGAACCAACCCAGAGCTAACCCTCCAGTGGGTTTTCAGAGACAGTGAGCCGCACAGAAGACTGCATCCTTCTCCCACAGAGCAGCTGGTGGATTTGAACCACGTGCCTCTGGGACTGCAGCGTAGCTTCTTACCACTAGGGGTGGCAAATGGTCAACAGTAAATGTCTTTATTCCCTTCTTCCTGTTCACTTACTAGCCTCATCTCACCTGGAAACCACCACCTCAAGCTGTCTGTCACAGTGGTTATTCCTGCCCCAGAACCTAGGTACAGCTGCTGGTCCCTGTCTACTTTGCTTTGTAGTATCAGCAGGGCCTGTTCCCCACCTCCTTCAGGTCTTTTCAGAAAGTTCATCTTTTCAGGCCTATTTCCTGGTCATCTCGCCTAAAATTCACACTTGCTTCTCCGCTACCCAAAGGACAGGGTCAGCATCCCAGAGTCCCTCAGCGGACATCTAACAGTAGGTGGGACTTTGGCTCTCACATAAGCACCACTGGAGAGCTTACCTTGGCAGACAGTGATCTGGGCCGAGTGGCTTTCTTCTCAGATCTGAGAACAAAGTAAGAATTTTAAATCTTTGACACTAAAAAAAAAAAAAAAAAAAGAAAAAAGAAAACCAAACCAAAACAAACAAAAAATAAAAAAGTCAACCCTGGCAGAATCACACCTGACCCAGCCCACAGATGGCAGTCAGCTGTTGTAGCAGGACCCGTGGTCCCTATGTTACAGGCGGTCCTTTGCCACATGTAAAACTAATGCTGAAGCAGCTTGGTCCTGCGCTCACTTATCAAACCCAAAATTGGCTCTCACTGTTCACCAAGAACAGCTTTCTCTCCCAGATTAATCATTTTCATATTAGAATCTACTCTGAAAATACAACAAATTCTTACGCTTCTCTCATTGGAGTTCTGCGTTTCTTCTCATCCTAAATTAACAAAAAAAGGAAAGAAATGAGTGTTTTACACTTGAGAAGTGTTTCCAAGATCAGCATTTTACATAGCTTGGTAAAAAGCAATCTAAGACCCAACTCCCTTTAAGTACCTAAATCTTATCAAAACGTTTACATTCAAAGTCCTCCTTAAAGGTCTCATAGGAGATACTAGTTTAACAAAGGACCATCAGAAACTTTTTAGATCCCCTATCCAAATGGTCATTCAAGGTGAGCAAGTAACTAAGGAGAAATCTGTTTCTCTAATTACAGATTAATAAAGGGACGACAACTAGACTAGTGCCACTTGGTAATCCTCAAAATACTAAGAGGCGACTAAACAAAATCTCAGGTGAAAAACTAGTGAACTTTCTGAGGAGGAGAAATCTGACAGCATGTGAACCCAAGAAGTATGTGTGATGCCCTTAGCACTACCTCGGAAGCGTGTGTCTGTGTGTGTGTGGCCAAGCCTCCTCTGGACCGACCCAACCACCTGCCCGTCTACAGAGGGGCAGAGGAAAAAGCTAATAGTTGCATGGCCACAACTGGCAAAATGCATAAAGCACAACAGATTCCGAAAGTAAAGGGGAAACTACCAATACGATAGTTAAGTATCAAGTAATATTGTATTTGGTTTATGTCCCTATTCAAATAAGGTTTCCATACTTCTACCCAAATAGCAAAATTCCTAACAAATATCTTGTTAGTTTTAAGATTTTTCTAGGTGTGACAATGATATCATGACTATTTAAAGAGTTTTCCTCAGAGCCATTTCTTTTATAATCAGGTTAAGTAAGGCTAGGATTTGTTCCAAATCACCCAGGGGCAGGCATGCACTTAGGAGAATGAGGGGAGGGGAGGCTTGGTTCAAACAACTTGGTCAAGTTCACTGCTAACTGTCAAGGTTGATGAGAGTTCTTGATGCTACTTATGAAGAAAAAAAAATTTAAATACACGAATTTTAAATCCATATTCCAGTCAGTGGGATGTATGTAATTATGTTCAAGTGGAGAAAGCATTTCTAAGACTTACCTTTTCAGGCTCATCTTTGACATCAGTTGCCTGAGATTTTTCTCCATCCAATTGTTTTTCTTGAGTTCTCTGCCTGGAGGTAGACCTGAGATGTCAATAATATACTAAATATTAGAGCAGAAAAACTGTTGCCAACAAGTGTACCAGAAAGTGACAAATGAATGTCTCTTCTTTGACAAGGAAGGTTTACAAAGGGTTTTTCCATCCAAAAAAAGCAGCTAAGTGAACGGCACATTAAAAGCCACTGCATTAGTTGCACTGCAATACCAGAGGTATCCGGTTCAAATCCACTAGATGCTCTGCTGGAAAAGGAGGGACAATCTCCTCCTGCACCAGTCAGATCTGATTTGACGGTACACACAAATAAAATTTAGAAAATAAAAAGCCACTGTGTTCGAGTCCATTTCCACTCACAGTGGAGCTTTAGAGCAGAGCAGCGTGGCCTCAGAGTGGTTCAAAGCTATTCTTTGCTTACGCAGATTTCCACATCTTTCTCCAATGGAGCAGATGGTGGTCTTGAACCGGCAACCTTTCTGTAAGAAGCCCAGTCACCCAGCCCAAGGCCTTCTTGAAAAAGATATGACACTAACTTGCACTTCTCACGTATGGCCTTCATCACTACCTGACCCCTCACATGAGAGGCCTGAGACACCAGAAAGCACGCCTGACTCCGCCCAGGGTGATGGGAACACTGGCAGTGAGGAAGTAAGGCCGGCCCAGATTTTTTTCTCATCCCGTTTGCCTTAACGGATCCACATTTTGAACAGCACCAACAACCTCTATAAACTTCATTATTGCAAGTTTCTACAACAGGCATTTCTGCAATTAAGACCACACACATAAGGGGAGCTCTGGTGACCTAGTGGCAAGGAGCTGCAACTACAATCCCAGAGGCACACGGTTTGAATCCACCAGATGCTCTGCCAGGGAAGGAGGGACAATATCCTCCTGTACCAGTCAGATCTGATTTGACGGTACACTCACAAAAATAACTAAAAAAATTTAAAAAAAAAAAAGTCCACACACATAGAACACGAAGAACAGAGCAAAGGCACATGCATTTTAACCACTTACTGATCGCTGAGATGCCTTCGGGGCCTCTGTTCATCCCGAGGGGAGAGGTGCAGCACGCATGAGGAGACAAAGGGGAGAATTAGCATCACTTAGGGCTCTCAGCACTGCACCATGGAGACCAGGAAAACCTGAGCTCCTTTTGAGCACAGCGTTGAGGCTTTACTTTGACTTCGTTCTCCACCTTCCAGACTTCTGAACAGGGCTTGGTCAACTTTTTTTTTTAAAAAAAAAAATTTTATTATCTTTTTGTACATGTACCATCAAATCGGATCTTACTGGTACAGGAGGAGATTGTCCCTCCTTCTCCAGCAGAGCATCTGGTGGACTTGAACCACGCACCTCTGGGATTTCAGTGCAGCTTTCTGCCACTAGGTCACCAGAGCTCCCTGGTAAAATACTTCTTAAAGGGCCAGTTAAAAGTCACTTTCAGCTCTGCTGAGCCACCATGATCGGTCACAGTTTCTCTACTGTGGCAGCACAGATAATACGGAATGAAAAGGTATTGCTGTGTATTAAGTAAACTTTATTCAGAGGGCTCAGGACAGCCTGAGAGATATCGTCTGCCAACCCCATCCACAATGGTTCCGTGAAAGTGCCTCTACCAGCCGAAATACCTATAGCTCCAACTACCAAGTGTCCTCAGAGAGACAGGTACTGAGATAGTTAAGGAGGGTAGCGGAGGTTTTGGAGAAAAACAGTAAAACTCCAGAATATAGCACAGAAGGAATAGAAAAGTAGACTTTGAATTCTCAACGAGGTTACCAACTCCTTGTATTTTCTGATCCCACGTGAACAAACGCCTTTGATATACTTAAGCAATTCCACATCATACAGTGATAGATCTACTAGTAGACAATATTGTCTTTACGAGAGAGAACCGGAAGACTGATCCCAACATCCCTGTCAATCCTGATGCAGACGCGCACTTAGTTCTGAAAGCTCGTTAGCAGGATAATGATGACAAGTATCTAGACAGGCCGGGTGAGAACAGACCTTGAAGCAAGCTGGACATCACCCCAAGAGGTCAGCAGCGGGCCAGGAGGAAAGGGCTCACCACCCTGGGAGTCTGGATATAGGCCCCTTCCACACGCCCGATCTCAGCACACAGATCACCAGGGACCATCACAGGCTTATCTCCGTCCACCTCTTCGAGAGCTCGGACTCCTGTGTCTCAGCAGAGGCCCTCTCCTTCCCCAGAGCTTGGGCAGCTCGACTGCCCTGCAGATAACCTCTCCACCCTCTCTTGTACTGAGGACAACTCTGGTTCTGGGTAGTGGGTCAGGGTCTAAGCATTTGCTGAACTGGAAGTCATGGAGGGAGCATGGGAGAGGCCAGACGCAAGGATTTATGACGCTGGTAATGCAGCAGCAGCATGGCTGACCCCGCGTTTGCATTTACTGCGTCGCACTTCCTCAGTTCAGGGGCTCACAAGAGAAGGTAAGGGGTCACACGGGAAGCCTTCACCACTACGGACCAACAGACTGCACTCTTACTGTGTATCAAGGACAGACAGAGGTGACAGCCACCAAGGCTCAGAAAGTTACCCCGAGAACTTGGCCAGTCTCAACCTCCAGGTAAGAGGAGCTGGATTTGAACCCAGTGCCTGATCTACACTGTTTCCCCCAGTGAAGCGAGGAACCTAACAGTGAGGCCGACTGAGAAATAAAGATGCCGTCATTACTTTCTCTTCTGGTTCTTCGGTTTTGGTGCTAGTTCCAGGTACTGCATCATCACCGGCCGACTCTTCCAGATGTTTCTGTTTCCACGTTCTGTCAGACAAAACACACGTGTGCTGGTTAGGAGCCTGGGGACCCCAAGTACTCCAAGCAGCCCCAAGGAGTGCTTCGATAACCTTCTCAGACTCAGAGTGGGGATATCCTTCCCACTGAAGGACAGCTAAGTCATCACCGCCGGAAGCCTGAAGGGCCTGTCCCACTTCAGTCCGCAAGCTCTTCAGAAACACTATCAACAAAAGCAGGACTCTGAGTGCTGGTAACCCAAAAGGAATTCTGATTTCAGTGGAAGTAGGCCTGCGTCCAGGCCTGAGACCGAGCTGGCATGAACTCCTGAGTATTAGCCTCCTGGTGTTACATGTCCTGCATCAATGACTGTAGCCAGCAGACTGCATGTCAACACGGGTATCCTCACCTCTCCTGCCAGGGCCCTCCACTGGCAGGGAGCTCTGCCCACCCCTTGACTTAGACCCAGCTTCATTGGCCGTCAGAAGCTCCACAAAGTATCTTATCTCGATATACCACAACCACGAGAGGCCAGACCAGCAGTCACATGATGGCCAAGCCAGTCCACTCAGGACAGGGGTCAGTTGCCAGGCACTGCAAGAAGTGCTCAGTGGCTCTAAGTCTGAAGACCCCGAGATGTGGGGCTGCTTATTACCAGCATTTCCCAAAGGTAACGGGCCTCAGCGTGACACCCTTTACTACCAACAGGACAGACACTACCTGTGACTGTCCCTGAGGAATGGCCTGGGGTCAGGAGCAGGAAACAAAGCCTTTGTTGTGGTCATCTGGCCTTTGACAGGCAGACATCACCTACATACTCTCTGCAGGGTTACAGCAGCTAGTCCTCTGCAGAGTTTCATGATTTTACCGAATACTTTAACACGTATATTACAAAGAACACAAAAGCACATTATGTCTACTTACTGTTCTTTGGATTTACTTCCGACTCTTTCTTCCTAAATGGGGAAAAAAAAACCAAAACACAACCCTAGTTAATGTTTTTTCCTTTGGTCTTCATATTTTTTTCAAGCTGTTTACTGAAGGTTTTTAGGGAACTGTCTACCCTGATTCGACCTTCTAGGGAGACTTAACTGTTCACACCTGACACATCTGTCTTGTTAGTGGAATAAGCAGGTAGGAAATTAAACGTAGAATAACTCCTTACTATTCTTTTTGTTTGTTTTTAATTATTTTTATTATTTGTGTGTGTGTACCGTCAAATCAGATCTGACTGGTACAGGAGGAGACTGTTCCTCCTTCTCCAGCAGAGTATCTGGTGGATTTGAACC